TCTCCTTCCCGGCCTGGCCCTTCCGCACCGTGATCACGACCATCGGGCCCGCGGGGAGCAGCGGCGCTGACGGCTGCGGCATGTTCATGGGCGGCCGGATGTCGCGGACCTTCTTCGTGCCCAGGTTCGTCTGCGTCATGTTCTGGAAGCTGTACTCGTAGCTCTGGCCCCGCAGCTGGAACCGGCAGTTCTTCTGCCCGACGAGGTAGGCCTTCTTCAGGACGGCGTCCTCCTCTGGCTCGTAGTCCTTGAAGTCGCCAGAGAGCTTGATCTGGAACCTGCCCGCCTTGGCCCTGCCCTTGCCGCCGCCCCTGCCCTTCCCGGAGCCCTTGCCTCTGGGCTTCACCGGCGCCGGCGCCGGCGCCGTCAGCATCGTGGGCGAAGGGGGCGCCTTGGCCACCGCGGGCAGCGCTGCGCCGGCCTGCTTGCTCCCGCTGCAGCCCATCTTTGCTGCGGTGGCGAGGCCTGGCTGCAGCGGGCGCCTTGGGGGGGCTGCTGTCTGGCTAGGGGGTGCGGCGCCCGCACCAGAGTCAGAGACGGCCTGAGTCGGAATGGTTACGGGCACAGCCGCGATCACCGTCACATGCGAGCAGGCTTTGAGGAGGCTTAGTGAGTACTGCAGCAGCACGTGCAACGAATGAGTGCGAGCATGGAGGCCTGGCATCCGACGCACTGCACCATCAACAGGAACGGGTCCTAGGCCTGTGTCTGGATAGGAAGGACGCTTATACGATGATAGTGTTCATTGGGGCCCAGGCGATTGACAATGTGAGGTGCTCCCGCCTTGTAGACCCCCACATGGGATCCAAAATCCCACCAGCACTCGAGGCAGAGGAGTTGTAGCCATTTGCTTTCTTCCACCTTCCAAGACATGTTCCTTCCCCATTCGGGGCTTCTCACTGCTCCTCATTAACAAGCACCACCACCCCTCCAGCGACAAACCAGAGTCACCCCTTGCAACAAAAAACAATACAGAAGACATAAGGGTATAAGGCACCAACATCTGGATCACGCGCGGACATCTCGAGATCACTTTGTATTGTTGTTTTGACAGAGGCGGCCAGGGTGCCGACATGTTGCCTGCTGTGTGAAATGCCAACGACCACCACCATACCTTGCAAAAAAGACAAGGCAACGTGCACTTTGCATCAACATATGGATCATGCGCGGGCGCCACGCGATCACTTTGCACAGGTTTTTGACAGGGACGGCGGATGTGTCGGCATATTGCCTGCTGTGTGCAATGCCCCCGACACCCCCCCATCCCTTGCAACAAAACACTAGACTGGCGAAAGAACCACCCATATGCAGTTGTGAATACCGCAGTTGTGGGTATCGCCTTCAGTGAAGCTCCCTATGGGCCACGACACGCTGTAAAAGGGCGGGGGATACGCATTCGAACTTTGCCAGTGGGGCCTTCGGTGGAGCCCCTTATGGGCCACGAAACGCTGTAATGTGTTGGAGAGACGCATGTGAACTGGTCCATTCGGGCCTTCGGGGCTGCGAAACGCTGTACTGGGCGGGGAAATGAATGTGAACGGTTCCGCTGGGGCCTTCGGGGCCACGAAACGCTGTACTGGGTAGGGGAAACGCATTGGACACCGCCGATGGGAACTTAAGTGGACCTCCCACGAAACGGAGACGCATGTGGACGGTGCCATTGAGGCCTCAAATGGAGTTCCCTACGGGGCCACGGAACGCTGTACTGAGCGGGGGAGACGCATGTGAATAGGTCCAGTGGGATCTTCGGCGAACTCCATTTTGGGGCCAGGTAGCACTGTACTGGGCGGGGAAACACATGCGAGTGCAGCCACTCGGGCCTTCCGTAAAGCTCCCTATGGGGCCACGAAGCGCCGTGCTGGGCGGGGGAGACGCATGTGGACACCGCCACTGGGGCCTTCGGTGAAGCTCCTTATGGGGCCACGAAGCGCCGTACTGTCGGGGAGGCGCATGTGGACACCGCCACTGGGGTCTTCAATGGCGCGCCCTATGAGGCCACGAAGCGCTGCACCAGGTGGGGGAGACGCATGTGGACACCGCCAGTGGGGCCTTCGGTGGAGCTCCGTATGGGGCCACGAAACGCCGCGCGTTGGGTGGGGGCGGCGCATGTGGACACCGCCACTGGGGTCTTCAATGGCGCGCCCTATGGGCGGGCCACGGAACGCCGTGCTGGGGGGGGACACGCATGTGGACGCTGCCACTGGGGCCTTCGGTGGAGCTCCCTATGGGAGCCACGAAACGCCGTATTGTGTGGGGGAGACTTATCTGGACACCGCCACTGGGGGCTTCGGTGGAGCTCCTTATGGGGCACGAAACGCAGTGCTGGGTGGGGACACGCATGTGGACACCACCACTGGGACCTTCTGTGAACACCCAATGGGGCCAGGAACCTGTATTGGGGGGGGAACGCATGCGATTGCAGCCATTCGGGCCTTAGGTGGAGCTCCCTGTGGGGCCACCAAACGCCGTGCTGGGCGGGGGAGACGCATGTGGACACCGTCACTGGGGCCTTCGGTGAAGCTCCCCATGGGGCCACGAAGCGCTGTACTGGGTGGGGGAGACGCATGTGGACAGCGCCACTGGGACCTTAGGTGGAGCTCCCTATGGAGCCACGAAGCGCTGTACTGTGTGAGGGAGACGCATGTGGGCACCGCCGCTGGGGCCTTAGGTGGAGCTCCCTACGTGGCCACGAAACGCCGTAGTGGGTGGGGGAGACGCATGTGGACACCGCCACTGGGACCCTAGGATTGAGCTCCCTATGTGGCCACGAAACGCCGAGGACATGCGCACGGCAGAGGCAGGGATGGGAGGAGGGAGGAGGGGGAGGAGGAAGGAAGGAGGGAGGGAAGGCGGGAGGGAAGGAACGCGGGGACCGTCTCTCCAAAACGACGACCCAACACCACAGGACGGCTGGGAACACCGGCCGTGTTACAAAAATCCGGTGGGGGCTAGCAGGGTCATTTCGCGGGGGCCCGCACCGAAGGTGACACCATCATGTAGGCGCGTGCTCTGTCTCCCCGGCTTCCAGGGGGGGTCATCCCGGAAGTCCTCCTCGCCCGCCTCGTCCGCCTCGTCCCTCTCCTCTTTCTCTCCCTCTTCTCCCCATGTGCTACTCCTGGTCCTGCTCCCTCTCTTCCTCTTCCTCGTAATTCCCCTCTTTCTTCTCCTCCTTCCACAATTTCCCCTCCCTCCCCGTCCACGGTACCTTGTTCACCTCCGTCTCGCTCATCCCGCCCATCGTAAGAGCCCCCCTTTGGATGTTGACGCCCACGGCTGTTCGGGACAGCGCAGGCCTGCATCTCAATAACGTAGATCTGTCACATCCCCCAAGGACATGCACGCCCTGCACTCGGCAACCCTAACAACACGACTGAGAATCCTTGCGGCTGCGGCATACACATTCCGAGTGTGCGTGGATATGCCCCGAGATTGCGATATCAAAGGTCAGCTCAGATGTTGTTGTTTCGCACGTCTTGTGCTCCAAGTGCGACGCTCTGCCCCCGCGGATCCCGCAGCCCTTCCCCAGCTCAATACTGGTTGAAGAAGCACATGAAATGTCGAGGTTTCAATCTATGTGCTTCCCCACATCTCTCCTCCAGACAGCTCTCACGGGCATCGATTCTTGATGGACTGGTGGAGATACTTTTTAGTCAGCGGCCGCAGGCGAAGGCGCCGACGGCGTGTCCAGTCAGAGCGGGGCGCGCAAAGACGAATTAACCTAAAGCCAATGGGCCGAAGCCTCACGCGGCACCTCGGCGGCCAGGCCGGCGAGTGGAGGCAGGCTGCTGACGGCGGCTGCCAGGGTAGCTGCACTGCCAGGGGTGCACGCATGCATCGAGCTGCGAGGGACAGGCGGGAACAGAGCGACGGGCGAGGCGACAACTAAGCGCGGCCGAAGCCTCAGATGGAGAGCTGCCGGGACTGAGCTGGGGGGGTATGCCGCGTGCACAGCAGCAAGCCAGTGACTGGTGGAGATACGCGAGGCGTCAATAATTGAATCTAGGGATGGCCCAACCACACACATTCCCATTGCCAAAACTTCTTGGGGCTTCCGGGAGCATGTGGGGCTGAAGAAATCCCCAAGACTGCCGAAGTGAGCGCCAAGAGGCATTCACGACGCGCTAGAACTCCTGAAATTCGATCTGGGCCTGAAGAGGCCACGGAGACCACCCAATAGAGTGCCCATATGGCCCACAGGGAACTCCAAGAGGGCGAACATATCCCCAACACGCTCAACATCAGCAAGCTAAAGAGGCATCGATATCCGTCGCGCGAAAGGACAGTGAGCCAAAGGACGAACGGCATCATTGCAATTGCCACATGCGTGAGCAAGGCTTTGCAGGTACGTCGTCATATGCCAGAGCACGCTGTGACGAGGCACAACGGCCATTGAGCCAGGGAAAGCACAACGATAAATTTCGCAAGGTTGGATCGTATTGTTGAGGCCCGTGGGGCAGACGAGACTCGGAAGCAAACTATCTCGATCACGCGGGCCTCAAAACACAACTCCTCCCGGCCAGAATCCACTCAAGCTTGTGCGCCGACCCCTCCCAGGCACCCTCTTGGCCACTTCCCGAGCAGAGCCCAGCAGAGGCCGCGATCCCCCCATCCCGCAGGCTAAATGTGTGCGCAAGCTGCGTGCAGGTCAACCCGCCCCAGCCCCCCCTGAGGAGGCGCGCGGGCATGTCGGACAGGGCAGCAAGCGTGGAGGTCCCAACGAGCGAAGCCCTCTCCCGTCGGCACGTAATAGCAAGGATGCGCCAGAAGGATGCAAGGGCCCCCATGCAAGGCCATCTCGAAGCTTTTTTTGTTCCCAGCGGGGCGCGGCCAACACACGTGGCCACGGATGGAGCGAGGAGGCAAGGATGCAATGTGACCGGAGGCTCGCCCATCCTTACCATGAGGGTTGACTGCATGCGGAGAGGGGGCAGGTGGCCACGCGCGAGCGGTGCCACCGCGCCGCGCCTCTCCCCTCCGGAGGCCTCCGCGGCTCCCCTGCAGGACCCAATGGAGCCCCTGGCGCCATGAGCGCGAGAAGCAATACAGCGCATCCAAGGCGCTGCACCACCGCGGCGCAGGAGTCCAGAGCTTTGTTCTCTCCCGCCGCAGGCTCCCGCTCGAGGGCAGCAGCTGCAGCGTAGGTTGCAAAAAAAGGGTGCGGGAGCCTGCCTCCGAAGGCCCCCATGGCAGCCTGGCCCGAGGCCTTATGCAGGGACCCGGCGCGAGTCGGGGAGGAAGGCGGAAGCCGAGGCCCGTCCTGCTTAGAGGCTCCGGACGCTCGGCCAAGACGCGGCGCGGCCCTTTAGGCGCGCCCAGGGAGAGGGGGCGTACCCCGCACTGGGAGCTCATGGCCGCTCCCGGCGGCTCGCACAGGAGGAGGGTGGTGAGCAAGAGGCCTGGCGCGGTCCTTTAGGCGCGCCAGGGCCGACCACTGACTACCGAGCCCGGTGCGGGCCTGGCGCCTAGAACAGGCTGGTGACAAAGTCCCCGACGTCGTCCGCGGCGCCCTCGAGCCAGTCCACCGAATCCTCGAGGGCGCCCTCCGCCCACTCCCCCGCGCCCTCGGCCCAGTCGGCGACGTCCTCGGCGGCCCCCGTGGCCCACTCGCCGGCGTCCTCGGCGGCGCCCGCCGCCCAGTCGCCCGCGTCCTCTGCGGCCCCGGGCGCCCAGTCTGCGACGTCCTCGGCGTATCCCTCGGCCGCGTCGGCGACCCCGAGGTGCCCGCCCGTGAGGTGGTCCCCGAGGACGACGCCGCCCACCGCCAGGGCGCCCACCGCAGCGACGCCGCCGACGCCCAGCGCGAGCCGTGCGGCGGCGCCGTGCTTCTGCTGCTTCTCCGCCACGGCCGCCACGGACTCCCCGACCTCCGGCACGGGCACCGCCATCTTCTGGCCCGCCTTGGCCCCCGGCGGGACGTTCACCTTGATCTTCCTGCCCCTGTTGTTGGGGTCGTCGATCTCGATCTCCTTCCCGGCCTGGCCCTTCCGCACCGTGATCACGACCATCGGGCCCGCGGGGAGCAGCGGCGCTGACGGCTGCGGCATGTTCATGGGCGGCCGGATGTCGCGGACCTTCTTCGTGCCCAGGTTCGTCTGCGTCATGTTCTGGAAGCTATACTCGTAGCTCTGGCCCCGCAGCTGGAACCTGCAGTTCTTCTGCCCGACGAGGTAGGCCTTCTTCAGGACGGCGTCCTCCTCTGGCTCGTAATCCTTGAAGTCGCCAGAGAGCTTGATCTGGAACCTGCCCGCCTTGGCCCTGCCCTTGCCGCCGCCCCTGCCCTTCCCGGAGCCCTTGCCGCTGGGCTTCACCGGCGCCGGCGCCGGCGCCGTCAGCATCGTGGGCGAAGGGGGCGCCTTGGCCACCGCGGGCAGCGCTGCGCCGGCCTGCTTGCTCCCGCTGCAGCCCATCTTCGGTGGCGCGGGGGTGGTGAGGGGGCTGCTGTCTGGCTAGGGGGTGCGGCACCCACCTCGGACGGCTGGAATCAGAGACGGCTGAAGTCCAAAATTACTACGACACAACCTCATTATGGTCGCGTGCTTTAACTTTGATGTAGCAGGACACGCTATTAATCATGCTGTTTCGACTGACCCCCACTGGCAGCTGCTGCAAAAATGCTCGAAGTCTGCATTGGGTCTCTAGAGTGCGGCTTGTGGTGATATCGTTTGATTGGTGTGAATGCGTGCTATGCTGGTGCCACATGCATGGTAGTCAGGACTGGCGTTCAAGAACAAGCGCATGCATTTGAGTTGCCCGTTCTAGTCTGGCAAAAGCTTCGGATGAATCTGACTCTTTACTACGCAAATGCGTGAAGCATAATCGTTAAAACGTGGATGCATGATCATTCTGAATGATTGTTGTATACGTTTTTGCTCGTTAGTTGTGCATGTTCTGTGCGTTGTAAATGTATGTTCTGCGTGGCGGCGGCTATGTAAAATGGACAGGTTGTTTTGCGAGGCGGCGGCTATGTCAAGAGTAAATCGTCATTCGAGACCAGCGATGGTGAAAACACAACCGATGAACGCACACTCCATAGTTGATTATCTCAAGCCAGGAGCCTTCGAGTACAGTGGGCAGCGCGGTTGCCAAAAACTACCATAGGAAGAGGGGCGAATGAGAGAAAGGAGACAAAATGGCTGGTCTGCTCATGGTTCATGTTATGTCGCCTTTGTTGTGTTGTTCTGGCCAGGTTGGCATGTCCTGGCTCTGTTGTCGCTTGAGCAACGATCAACAGCGGGTCACTCGCGAGACGGCACAGCGACCTTACGCTGAAGTTTACGCGGGCCACCGGCGCGGCACGCAACGCTGGAAACGAGGGCGCTCACGCGCCATTGTCGGCGCAGACGACCCCTCGCCATCGCTCGGACGTTTATTCCCTGTGCATTTTTCGGTTTCGTGCGTGTTTTTTTGTTTGCTCGAGGATCCGGGACGCTCCTCCAGGGTCCTCGCAGAGGAAAAAATGCACACGTCCGAGCGATGCCAGGACCCGTTTATCTGGCGTCGCCCACCTGTCGAGGACGCGAGGTGGGACTCCAGGACTCTCGGGGAGGCGTCGGGGCCTGGCGGCCGCGCCACGCGGGAACATGTGGGGATCGTGGCGGGAGCCCCGGGGCCCTGCGGTTGTGGCCTGTGGGGTCGGCTCGCCTCGCGTGCGCCGGCGGCGAGCGGCCTGCTGCACACGTCGCTCGCGTGCGGCCTTCGCGCACGCTCGGCGTGTGCGTCGTCGATGTTGCTTCCTGGGGTAACGTACGTGTGTGTGTGTGTGCGTGTGTGTGTGTGTGTGTGTGAAGAGTGCAAGCTCCTCGGCACCGCCTGCACCCCGGCCCGCCCTCCGGCCGCCTGAGGCCCCGCCCGCCTGTGCCCTGTCTCCCCCATTAGAGCTGTGCGTAGCCCGCCTAGCTTTTGCCGGAAGCGGTTCGCTCTCGCCCCGCAGACCACAAAAGTGTGTCTGTGTGCCTGTTGCTTCTGCCTGCTGCCTCTGCGCACCTCCTGTCGCCACCCGTCGAGAACGCGAGGGGAGCGCGCGGGGACGAGGCGGGACAGCGGGGGCACGCGGGGAGACAGGAAAAGGGCACGCGAGTAGACCAGAAGTGGCGCACGACGCGAGGCGAGACGAGGAAGGCACACGCGAAAACTACACAAAACACCGACAAAGAACTGCGAAACCAACACGAAGGACATCAAGCACGGTGAGCACGGCTACGTCTTGCTAGCGTGTCGTGTGAATTCTTGCCTCGTTACTGTCGACGGTAGCGCAAACGAAGAACAAGAAACACAGCCTCTAAGGCGCTATCGATCCTCTGTGCATTTCAGACCTTTAACAGGAGACTGGCCGTCACCATCGTTATCCCCAGCCCAGGAGCGCAATATGTCTTTCACCTCGACCACGTGCTTCACATTGGCATCAGCTGCTTTCTTAGCTTCCTCCTCTGAGAACGTCTTACTACCACTCAAGTCATATGCACTTCCAGCAAAGGCCACTTCTGCGAATGACGGCTGTACCCAGATAGACTTCCACCCTGCAGACTGGGCGCCCAGGACGTCCTTTTCGATATTGTCGCCAACCATCACTATGTTTGCAGGCGCACAGCCAGATCTAGCCTCGCACAGCGCAAATGCACGCCGGTCAGGCTTCGGGGCCCCAGCCTCCACAGCTGACACATGGAAATCCACTATAGCTTCCAAAGCTCCAATGACAGATACGTCTGCGTTCCCATCGGTGAGCGTGCCGATCTTTATGCCGGTATCCCGCAACTCTTGCAATGCCTCCAATGCTCCCGGGAAAAACGTCGGCCGGTTTCGTCTTTGAAGCCAAGCGTCAAACGCAATGGTTGCCGTTTCTGCATCTGTCAGCCTCGAGAGTGTCTCTGTGCGCACAAAATTGAAATCATGTTTCTTATCGGGGTTGTTGGACATCGTAGTCTTCATTTCGTCGCGAAAGGAATCCTGATCTGAGATACTTGCCTGAAACTCAGGACGAGTCTCTGAAATCGCCACGCACATTGCCTCGTAGCAAGCATCTAGTTCCTCCTTGGCGTTCCACAACGTGTCATCAAGGTCGAAAACAACACAACCGACATTACCAATCACCATTGCGCCACTGGCAAGCTGGAGATTCCTTGCGACTGAAACTCAACTAATTCGCCTCCATGCCCCCTGGTACGTTTTGGCGTGCCAGAACCCAAGTGCTGCCTGATAGAGTGCACGCGACCTCCTAGGCCCCCCCCATCTCGCCACGCTGCGCCAAATGCACCGCCGCCTCTCCCCAAACCACATCCTTCGCAAACTATACTCCAGATTTCGTAATAAAAGGGAGGGGGTCTGGACCCTCCAAGACAAGCCATTTCAGACCCCCCCGTGGGAGAACCCTCCAGAACATCGTCCCCAGACCCCCCCAGGCCCTCCAAGATAGCCTGGAAGAGACCCCCCCCGAAATGAGACCCCCCTCCCTTTATTACGAAATCTGGAATAAACGACTCGCAACCTCGAGGCCAATATCCTGTTGTGCAGTCTGAGAGGCCTGCGCTCCCGAGCCCACCGTCCCTCGCAGCACACGACGGGTGCGCGCGCTCCCGAGGCCCGGATGCCCCACCGCGGCCCCAAGCAGCCTCAGCCTGTGGGACCCAAGACGGCCGTAGATGGCCCTTCGGCTGCCCAAGACGGCGCCAAGACGGGCCCACAACCGCCCCCCAGCACCAACAGTACGGCCAAGAGGTCCCCCAAGGCTGCCCAAAAGGACTCCAAGACTGCCCCAGAGGGCCCCAAAACGGCCCCATGGGGGCCCCAGGGGGGCCCAACACTGCCTCTCAGGTGGCCAAGACAGCCACAGGATGGCCCCCACGAGTTCTATCAGGTCACCACCCAGAATGCTGGGCTGGCACGGTGGCGAGGCTTGCCGCAGGCAGCTGCCAGGATGCTTGATTGGACCCGCTGACCTGAGCCAAGCGGCCCCTGGAAGGCTATATAGAGAGGGGGGATCCCTGTGAGGCTCTGACGATGCAAACGATATATATATATATATATATATAAATATCGGAGGTTGGGGGGTGAGATCGCAGTGAAACGGAGACCCCCCACCGGGAAATCGGTTTCGGTTTCGCGTTCGTGTCGTGCGTGCGGGCGAGGCGAAGCTGCACGTAATCCTCCTGTAGCTCGGCCGAAGTAGGAGCGAAAGTCCGTTCCCGTCCGCCGGTGGCTGGGAAGTGTCCCAGTTGGGCCAGGTGGTGTCCGTTGTTTCCCGTCCGCTGGTGGCCGGGCGGTGTCCCAGTTGGGCCGGGCGGTGTCCGGGGTGTCCCGGGTGTCGCGGCGCTAACGCATATCTGGAAGTCAGTCAGGGTGGGCTTTTGATCTCAATCCCCATAACCTCCTTATCGCCCGCAGGGCGGTCGTATAGGTATATGCACATATATGTGTGTAGGTGTGTCATATATAAATATATGTATATATATATATATATATGTGTACCTATACATATATGAATAGGTACATGTCCAAGCACGTGTGTGAATCCTGTGTGTACCCGTGTATGTGTATGTGTATGGCTATGCCGTCTATCAGACTCTGCTGTGCTTAAAAACCACTCGGCGACACTCTGATGCCACGAGGGGCATACGGGAAGCTCATGGGAGGTTTCTGGGAGCCCAGACCCCCGACGTCATGAATTTTTCATGACGTCGACCCCCAGCGTTCTGGACCCTTTCCCCGGGACCGGTTCTTCGTCCCGAGTCGTTTTTTGACTGTCCCGAGGGCCGGTAAGGGCCCCCAGATGCCAAAAATAACGAAAAACCTCCCGTCGTGATTTTTTCATAGCTCGAGGGGGTCTGGGAGGTCACCGAGAGCGGGCCGAGAAGGTGCGAAAGCATCCTCGGAGGCTCCCAGAGCAGCCGCTCTGGACGGGATCCTGGGACGCTCCGGGGAGGCGATCCGGGGTCTACCCCGGAGAGCCCCCCACGGCGGTCCTGGAGGGACCCGCGTGAGGCTCCTTGGAGGAGGAGGAGGAGGAGGAGGAGGAGGAGGAGGAGGGGGGGGCCGAGGAGGAGGAGGAGGAGGAGGAGGAGGAGGAGGAGGAGGATGAGGAGGACGAGGAGGCCACGAAGATCCTGTGAGCTGGCCTTGGAAGGCCCCTGGGGAACTTCTGCAGGAGAGCCCAGCATCGAATCGACGAGTCGGATCGGCGATTGAAAATGAATCGGACTGGCGGAAATCGGCAGCCAAGTAGGGAGAAAACGAATCGGCAGAAATCAACAGGCTAATAGGCCTCCGCTGAGAACTCGGAATCCGGATCGGAACCCGAGGTTGAATCGAATCGGAATCGGAGGCCATCGAAAGCGGGTCGAAGCTTCTGGGGGTCCCTGGAGGGCTTCGGGAGACGCCCGGAACCTCTCATTGCACCTGCGTTGCAGACGTGCTGCAGCGGATTTCTGCGTGGATTTCTGCCAATGCAAAAACCTAGAAGCGGCGAGTGAAAAACGAAGTGAACTTCGCGTGGATCTGTTTAGTCTTCTGGTAAAAAAAACATCCGCACGAAATTCACCTCGAAATCTGGGACGAAATTCTCCAGGACACTCCTGGCCCATCCGATCCTTTTCAGAGCGAAATCCGCTCTGCGACGTTGGCGCCATGAAACCTCCGGAGACCACGGGGAACCCAACGGGGACAGCTTCTGGTGGCGCACAGCTTCCAGCCGGGCGTCGGAAGCCTTCTTCGGACCGTCCGCGAGGCTGCTCCCCAGGCGGCGACGGCAAGGCCGACAGGGAGAAAGAGGAGAGCGGCAAAAACAAGCAGAGGAAGAGCAGGAGCAAGAATGATGGCAGAGGAGAGGGGAGGCGGAGGAGGAAGAGGAGGGAAGAGGAGGAGCAGGACAGGAGAGGAGGGAGGATGCAGGAGAGAGGAAGGGAAGGAGGGAGAGGAAGGGGGAGAACAAAAAGATGGAGGGCGAGAGTGGGAAGGCTTTACCACCACCTACAATTGTGGATACGAACAATTACAAGAGAAGCCCCACTACATAGTCAGCACTATGGAAGAAAATTGAACAATGAGTTCTGAGAGCAGAACACTTAACGGGGAACCCTTGCACGAAACGATCCTTGGTAAAGAATCCCCAAACATAATATTCGATAAAACACAGGAATCCGTTTGTACGGGAAACGCGTACTGTTTGACAAGGTTGCTGAAATCAGAATAAGGCCCCTCCTCTAGCAGCGGACCGCCGCGTGCATCCGCGAGGCCACGACCTATCCTATTTGCGTGCCAGCGATGGGTCCTCGTCGCTAGCTTCCAGACTTGGCCCATGTAGACACCCACAAAGATGGCACAATATGCTTCGAAGACACCTCCAAGGTGGCCCTAAGGCGGCCAAGCATGGCCTCATGACGGCCCAAGATGACCCCTCCAAGAAATTCCGAAGAAGCCAAAACCATTGACTTCACGTTGGTGCTTGAAAGGTCCACCTTTTCGGACTTCTGACCGCCCAGGACAGCCAAGGAGGCCGCCAAGGTCGCCCCAAGTTCGACCAGAACGCTCCCAAGACAACCCCAAGACGTATCAAAAGAGCCTCAAGACGGCCCATAAGGCCCCCAAGAGAGCTCCAAATGTCGCAGGACGGGCCCAAGAGGAAGACCCGGAAATGAGATTTCGAGCCCTTCCGCAAGAAGTTGCCTCCGAGACTGCCAGAAGGTCCCAAGATGTCCCAGGCAGCCCCTAAAAGGCCCCCAAAGTGGCCCCAAGAGGCCCCCAATATGCCTCCGCGAGGCCCCACGAGACTCCAAAAATGACCCCGGCAGCACGCAAGCGAGTCCCAACGATGACACAATGAGCCCCGAAACAGGTCCCAAGACGGCCCAAGAGGGGCTCAAGGGGGGTCGAAGGGGGGCCAACAAGATGGAGCACCAACAGCCACTTCGAGCCCACTGCCCCGAGACGTACCTGACTGCTCACGCAACAGTTCAAGGAACCTGGCACCACCTGGGACCGCGGACGCACGCTCGCGATGGAATAGTCTGGGCCCGCGGAATGAGCGCAGCGATCCGCAGCCCCACCTGGTACGGCGTGTGAGATCCACCGCATGGTCTGCAAGGAATGCTTTCCTGCAGCTCTTCTCACCAGCGCGCTTTTCACACCTTAGCCCCTGCCTCTGAACCCTCACACCCCTTCGTGAGATCCTCACCGCTGCCCGCTCATTCCGCTGGCCCGAGGGCCCGGGCTGCAGCCGGGGCGCCTCTGGCCACCACTTCCGTTCCAAAAGGTCCCCCCTGACGACCGCTGGGCTTCTTGGCGCCACCAAGACCTTTCAGAGATCTCTCCGGTAGCCTGCTGGGCCGGTTTGGGGAACCTCTCGGGGCCCTTTCTTGTCAGATCTTGACCGTCCTTCGAGCCCTCCTGGGCCGCCCCAGGTGCCTCTCCACCTCTGCTCTAATCGCGTAATCGAAAACGCAACAGGTGCAAAAACGCAGTAAAGCACATAGGAGTCCGAACATTAACCTCATGAAATTTCGAAGACGCCCCACCCTCCCTTTCGGCAGAACGATGAAACTTCCCGCGTTGGGAAGCGTTATCCCGGCACCTGGAGGATGATATGACTCTCGCCTTAGCGCCGCGCGCATTCTTTTCAAAAACTTGCTGGGAGTTTCACTGATTGTGGGCGGCTCGTTTTCAAAATGTGGCTCTCGCCTCAGCGCCGCGCACTTGCGCTTCAAAAACTGCTTGTTGTTTTTGTTTTGAACATGTGGATCCCGCCCCAGCGCTGCGCGCATTCGTTTCAATCACTTGCAAGAGCTTCACGGATTGAGGGCGGGTCGTTTTCAAAATGTGGTTTTCGCCCCAGCGCCGCGCACAGTTGTTTCCAAAACTTGCAAGGGTTTCACAGATTGAAGGCGGCTCGTTTTTTTTGAGTTTTGAAACTGTAGCTTTTCCCGTAGCGCCGCGCACATTCGTTTCAAACATTTGCACGAGTGTCCAGATTGAGGGTGGGTCGTTTTCAAAATGTGGCTCTCGCTTTAGCGCTGCGCACACTCGTTTTAGTCAGCCTGGCGAAAGACCTAGCCACATGCAATTGTGAACCACCTTATATGGCCACGAGACGCTGTACCGGGCGGGGGAAACGCATGCGGACTGCGCCACTGGGACCCTCGGTGGAACCCCATTTGCGGGGTCGCGGGACGCTGTACTCGGTGGGGGAGACGCATGCGGGCTGCGCCCCTGGGACCGTCGGTGGAGCTCCCGACAGGGGCCACGAAACGCTATACTCGGTGGGGGGGACGCATGCGGGCTGCGCCCCTGGGGCCTTTGGTGGAGTTCCCATACGGGGCCACGAAACGCTGTACTCGGTGGGGGAGACGCATGCGGGCTGCGCCCCTGGGACCGTCGGTGGAGCTCCCTAGGAGGCCACGGAACGCCGCACTGGGTGGGGAAACGCATGCGGGCTGCGCCCCTGGGACCTTTGGTGGGGCTCCAAGTGGAGGAAGAAAACGCTGTACTGGGTGGGTGGGGGCGCATGCGGGCTGCGCCCCTGGGGCCGTCGGTGGAGCTCCCATGCGGGGCTACAAAACGCTGCAGTGTGTGGGGGAGGCGTATGCGGGTTGCGACACTGGGGAATTCGGTGGAGCTCCCACTGGGGCCACGAAGCGCTGTACTGGGTGGGAGAGGCCGCATGTGGGCTGCGCAACTGGGGCCGTCGGTAGAGCTCCCTACGGGGCCACGAAGATCTGCTTTCGGAGGGGACACGCATGCGGGCTGCGCTCCTGGGACCGTCGGTGGGGCCCCCTAGAGGGGTAACGAAACGCTGTACTCGGTGGGGCAGACGCATGCGGGCTGCACCCCTGGGACCGTCGGTGGAGCTCCCATACGGGGTAGCGAAACGCTGTACTCGGTAGGGGGAACGCATACGGGCTGCGCCCCTGGGGCCGTCGGTGGAGCCCCCTAAGGGGCCACAGGACGCCGTACTGTGTGGGGAGAC